TTATTTAATGTAAAATTGTAAATATTTAATAATTTGTCAACATATTTTTATTTAATTTTATATTTACTATTTAATATCAGGCAATAAATTTATATAAAATATTTAATAAAAATGTAATGGAAATTAATCTATATATTTATATATTTTCAGCTATTTTTTTGAGGTATTAGCTGCATATTTAAACCTGACACATAAATACTTTATTTACGTTACTTAAAAGCAAAAATATATATCTAATTAAATTCCATTATAAACTAATGTTGCAACAAAGTTTACTTAATATCAGTAAATAAAATTTATACATATATATCGTATGGGCTCTCCAGGGATGCAGGGCATCTCTTTGTCTGCTACTCCCACTGGCATTACGCTTGTTTAGTTTCAATAAATGTTTTTGAGCTCTGCTCCGCTCTGCGTGCATATTTTGTTTAGTCCGTGCGCTGGTCAATCACAATCGCCGCGTGCTCGTTCATGCAAATTCGTGTTCATAATTTTATGCAAATTATTTTGTGATTATGCTGTCGGCCGCAGTGGACAGTTGTGGAGTGCAACAGCATTTTATTATAATGTCAGGCAGTTTATGTTGTTATTGTGTTTAATCTTTTCAATTCGAAGTGCATGCAAATGAATTGTTTGCACAATCGCATGTTGTTTAGAAGAGCTCGCAATGTTCCATATACAGGAAACTAATTTATGGCCAATCAAACTGAAATGTTTTTAAATGCAGTGAAACAAGCAACAAAAAAATGCAATAAAAAAGGGGAATATATTTTAGATTAGTTATTTAAAGAGTGCATTGAAATGCAGTAATTAAATTGCATTCGGGCGCTTCAATTAAAATCTTGCCATGGCCGTCATTATCAGACGTTGGCAACTGGCAGCCATGCCGCATCCGGCAAACACACAAATGCGGGTAACAACAGCAACAGCCGGATAGATGGATGGTGACGGTGGTGGCTGCCTAAAGCTCCCCCTCCCCCTCCCCCCTTCCTCCACAAAAATATCTAACACATGGCAAGTGGGCAAGACAATGCGAAAGCAGCCGCCAAATCAACGCAGCAGCAACGGCGCCCAGCAACGGATGCCAAAATGTTTATGCGCATAATGAACAAGCGCCATGTGCGAGGAGTGTAGGCGTAGGGGTAGGAGAGGAGGGCGGCCCAAATGAATGGCTCGATTTGGTGAATGAATGCCCGCCCACTGTCCCACTGCCCCCCATAAACGTTTTGTTGTGCGCACGGAATCTGTAGGCTGCCAGGCACAGGCACAGGCCCAAGCTGTGGCACAGGCAGTGGCAGAGGCAGTGGCAGTGGCACAGGCTTAGGCGCATACAAAACGCAATTGCAGCTAGAAATTCGACGGAATTATGGGCGAGAATTATGTGTGTGAAAGCGAAAATTTCGGCAATTGCAAATTGCGAATGACATAAATGCAAACGTGCACACCCACACAAACACACACACATATGCGGAAGACAAACAAATAGATAAACAGTTGTGCCAGGCGGCTGCTGCAAGAATATTAAGCATACGCCCTGTGTCGTCGGCCTGACATATGTATTTTAGTGGCAATCGACAGCGCGGAGTCTGCAATTTAAATCGCATATCAAATCAAATACTCTATACACTTAGTTCAGCGAGTTGAATTGATATTTGCATTAATTATGCCAACAAAAAAAGGGGAAAAAACTCCCCGCTTAAATTCCCATTTCGTTTGATTAATAACTCAATTTGTTGCTAACCCAATTTGGTTGAACGCATTGAAAATATCATTGGGAGTGTTATTTGTATGCGATTCCCTTGTGTGCATTTTCTCAATCATTTATCAAGTGAGTTTTCATAAAATGTCACGCACTGCACAAATGTTGGCCCCCCCTCCTCCCCCAATCTCTTCCCGTTGGCAGCTTATAAAAATGATGCTGCCGTTTCTACAGCTACTGCTTCAGCTCATAAGTCAGCACGACAACGAAAAAATATTGCAACTCGGCGAGTTTGGGTTCGTGTATGTATGTGTGTGTGTCAGAAAAAATATCCAGTGTAAAGCTGAGAGGGGAAAAAAAATGGTTAGCAATGACTAAGAGCATCAAACAAAAGGATTTTGAGAGAGAAGTCGGCAACTTAAAGCTCATTTCGTATACCAACTCATATTTGACAATATTACTTTGTAGCATAAGACAGCAGATGGAGCACATACAGACAGACATTCACACACACACACTCACACGCACACACACACACATAGATGTGCTTCACAGCCAATAAGTTGACAGCAGCCGTTGCCATTGCAGGAAAATCCTGTCGCAGCTAGTTTATGTCTGTGTGTGTGTGTTTGTGTGTGTGTGTGTCAGCGTGAGCGTGTGTGTAAGTATGTGTGCTGCAGTTACGACTTAAAGCTTTTAATAAAAATGTCAACTGCATTGAAGGGAAATAAGTTCAAATACGGCAATGTGTGTAGGAAGAACTGCGACAAGAAAAAAACAGATTAAAGTATTAATGGGGAGTATACGACTGGGCGATATACCTTAACAGGCAAGTGATGCATATAAATAGAGAATATATAATATATAATAATATTCATATATTGGCATATTAATAATTTCCACATAATTAAAGAATATTTGTATTGATAAGGTATATACGACTGTATGATATATCTTAATAGGCAAGTGATGCATATAAATAGAGAATATATATAATATAGAATATAATTAAGAAAAACTAGGGTTTTAATTTTTTATTTATTCATTATAAAAAAGT